AGTTTGGCAATGGAACAAATTAATATAGTTAGAAATTGTAGATGTTTTGCCGTGGCAGCAGTAATGCACCATCATACCGATGTAACTCCGTAGACCACCACAATTACTGTTAGTGCGTGTCTACAGTGCTTACTAAAAACCGTTTTGAGCACACCTAGGAAAAGATAGGAAAGGGAGTTGAAGCCAAGATAAAATGTTGGCTTTGATCTGATAATATTTCAAATTTTAGTGTTCTATGCTTTTTTGAGATATTTACGCGTTTTTGCTATGAACAGGATTGATGTGAAAAAGCAGCAACGTCATATGTCAATAATATCAATATCTGGCCTAGCTGTCTAAAAAGTCATAAACATGGGTGATATGTGAGCTGGGAAGAATAAGGGGAGATTTCTAAAATGATGAAGTAACCGGATTATCGCATTAAGAACTTGGGCTTAACGGTGTTTACAGCGCGTATCTCTTAAATGCCGTAAACGGTTCTTTTAAACTAACTTTATCAAAATACTTCCACACCAGGCATATCACATACATCACAAATTTTTAAAGAATCACTTCTTGCTAAATCAATTATCTTAAATACTAACATGTAATATTATCAAATGCTCACTTCGCTACTTCCATCCATAAAACGGAGCAAAGTTCGAATGCTTATTGAACACCTCCAGACCTTTAACATGTCATGCTATGTTTTTCACTCGTTTAAAATCTCTTGGTGGGGATCAAAGAATTAATTTCTATGGACAGTCATCCCCTTTAGAATTGTTCGTGCAGAACAGCTGAGAATGTTGGATAAAAAATGAATTGATGGCAATCTTTGCTCCTTTTTCATGCAGAGATGGAAAATAAATATTTTTTTCAAATTGGCCAATCATCTCTTGGTTTACACGAATGATGGTAGAAAAGTTAAAATGAGAAGATTGCATTGGTATTAATGAACTACAAAATTCTAATCAATAATTTACGTGCACGATAAAGGATGAGATGAGCAAGCAGCAACAAATCCTGATATAAGTACTTGAACGGTATTTAATTTAGCGCACTCAACGTGTATAAGGTTGTACTTCTATACGAGCAGTTAACGCTGTAAAGTAAGAAGCTACTAAAGTTGTTTGATCTCATTTCTTGCGCCAGTGTGCTTACGTATCATTTTTTGTATTTTCTAAGCTAATTAAATATTTAAATATCCAAGGCTCATCGCATTGGTTTGGACCCTCTAAACCGCGAACCAAAAGCCGTGGTCGGTCTCTGTGAAAAGAAGGTATGCTTGTTAGGGCAACATTGCGAAATGAGGGAAGTACATTTTTAGCAAAAAACGCCTTAAAGAGCCAGCCATTCTCCATGTAATCATCTCAACTCGTCCGTTAGATTTGTAAGTTATGTCCTGAAACAGATTATTGTGCGAAACAACGCTGTTAATCGTTGTTGTTACCGATTGACTGAAGTGGCGGGTGTCAATCACTGGTATATTAATGACAACATTTCATAATTTACGCACGAATTGATGAGCTGTTTATTGACGTGATAAATCGTAAAATGATGTTTTTGTGTGTAAATCAAACAAAACAAAGATATGCAATACTTTATTATGCCCACCCATAATAGGTATATTGCTGATTACATGCAATTATTCGGATTCGAAATAAATACCAAATAGAGAAATAGCAGCCGTGGTAGCTTGAGCACTATTTGCTTCATGCATTGCATAAACACACTTTAAAAAGTATAAAAGCGAAACGGTGTGCATGAATGCCACCTCCTCTTCTCCCTCCACCCCCAATCACAATCTGTCTCTTTTATATTCCTCCTTTAATTTAACCCTATGCAACACTTCTTCGTTGTTTTGTCTCTGTACGGCATCTTTACGTTGATATTTGGCCTGGTATCTCTGCTCATAAAAGAGCGCCTTTATATCTCTGAGACCGTTATAGCCACTTTGTTCGGCATTGTCATTGGGCCAAAGGGTTTTGATATCCTGGAGTTCGAGGACTATCCAACGATGATTTTCTACCTGTCACGGATGGTTATTTCCCTGCAGGTTGTTGCTGTGGGCACCATTGTTCCCAAGAGGTATGTGATGAAGCAGTTCCGCTCACTTTTCATTCTGCTCGTTCCTCTGCTTGTCCTTACCTACGCGATCAGCACAGGCCTTACGTTCTACATGACCAATTTGGGGCTGTGGGCAAGCATGATCGTGGGAGCATGTGTTACACCTACCGACCCCGTGCTTGCATCTTCTGTGCTCAAGGGCAAGTTCGCGAACCGCTACATACCCACCCATCTCCGACACCTTCTGATCCTTGAAAGTGGATTGAACGATGGTCTGGGCTTTCCTCTGCTCACTCTACCTATCTTTGCGATGCGTTATCCGTTCAAAAAGGCATTCAACAAGTGGCTCATCCACACCTGGCTGTACGAAATATTCCTTGCGGTAATTATTGGCCTTGTAATCGGTTTCGTTGCCAAGAAATTGCTGGTCATATCTCACCGAAGAAATTTTATCGACAAGGAGAACATTCTTGCATATCTTCTCGCACTTGCGTTCGTTGTCACGGGCATTACAGGACTGCTCAAAAGCGATGACATCCTTGCATCGTTCTTCTGCGGCATGATATTTGCATGGGACGGTGAGTATCAGGACGAGATCAAAGACTGTTCGCTGTACGAAGTGCTTGATCTCATGATCAATGCCTCGTTTTTCATTCTGTTCGGTGCATCCTTCACCTCTCACATTCGTTATTTGCCGCTTGCACTGCTTATCATTTTTCTACGCCGTTTACCGCTTATCATGCTTGGTCGTTCGTTCATCCCCCAGCTGTTTAACACCCGCGAAGCGTTCTTTGCCGGCTGGTACGGTCCGATAGGTGTAGGTGCCCTGTTCTTCATAACACATGCCAATGATTGCATTAAATTGGACGGTGAGCTGGTAAAGATTGTTAATATGATGGTGCTGTGCAGTGTTATACTGCATGGTACCACTGCGCCTATTATACATGTAAGCTTGAAGAAGAGAAAGCGGATTGATGAGGAGATGTACATGACCGAGAGTGAATATACGGAGGTGGAGAGTGATTATAAAGGGGAAGGGATCATGGCAGCGGAATAAAGCGGAATTAATTGGAATTGACAGAAATAAAGTGAATGAAGTGGATGAGTGTGAAGAAGTGGATGAGTGTGAAAAAGTGGATGAGTGAAGAAGTGGATGAGTGTGAAAAAGTGGATGAGTGAAAAAGTGGATGAGTGTGAAAAAGTGGATGAGTGTGAAAAAGTGAATGAGTGTGAAGAAGTGGATGAGTGTGAAGAAGTGGATGAGTGTGAAAAAGTGAATGAGTGTGAAGAAGTGGATGAGTGAAAAAGTGGATGAGTGAAGAAGTGGATGAGTGTGGAGAAATGCGAAGATCGCTGTGAATAGTTGAAGGTAAGAAACGCCTTGATCAACTCATCGAGTGAAAACAAGAAAATACCTTCTAAAAAAACACTTAGCACTACATGAAAAAAAAGAAGATGCGTCGGAGTAACAGAGTAATGCGCCTTTCCTCCACTAAAAGTGCCATAAAGGGATTAAACCACCTTTTCAACCATTTCTGTTTCGTACGGTGTACTGTACGAAGGTGCATGGTAATGAGTGAAAAGTATTTGTGGGATGTTCCACGCATCTGTGCATGATATTAAGGGGACATTGCATGCAAAATATTGGTACAGTGCGAGTCACGTAGAAATGCTTGTGGTGTTGATCAGAAAATACGTACCTGATCTGTGCTAGAAGATCAGTTCGTAGAGAGCGTACTTATTTTTTACTGCCTTCCAACATTGTCTGCCTTTGCCATTCTTCTATCTCCTTGCTGTTGTTTCCTCCGCCCCTTCCTTCTATTTCTGCCTATCACCGCATGTTGGTGCATCATTTCTCTTGATTTTGTTCAACTTTCTCTTACGCTTCACATAAAAACCTTTTTTCCATTCTGTGCTCGTTTTCAGCGGCCCACAGCCCTTTACACACCACATCCGATAAATCCATCATTATTTGTGTACACCACGCTAAAAAATAAAAAATAAATTTTTTAAAATTCGTACCCCAAAAAACGGAAAGAATGCAAAGCCGCATATACCAAGTAGATCCAACATCATTCATAGGCACGCTATCATCACACCTAAAGAACAACAACCTTCTGACTCAGCCACAAAATATTGATATAATAAAATCGTGCAGCGGCAAACAGAACGCTCCTCTCGACCCTGACTGGTTGTACGTGCGAGCGGCGTCCGTGTACCGCCATTTCCTTACTGCACACTTCAAGAACGAGCGTATTACAGTGACACGGCTGGCGAGTCTTTATGGATGCAAAAAAGACAGGGGATCACGGCCTGGTAAGAAGGTGAGGGCGAGCAAGGGGCATTTAAGGAGTATTGTTAGGGATTTTGGAAAGTTGGGATGGCTTGTTGAGGATGACAAGGGCAAGTTTGTGAGTGAGGATGGTATTAAGCTGAGTGAGCAGTTGATTGAGAAGATATTGAGTTAAAGTATTATTGATTTGAGGTGTTCTTACGTATTTTTAGTTTTAGTGTTATTTTAATCATATTTTATTCCACATCGCATTTTACTCTACATCATTGCCTCGTGCTTTTGTTACAGGCACGTTTCGTACCACAACAGGTCTGAAGAAGAGAACCTACCGTAAAAAATTTGCTCCATAAAATTGAATTACCATGGAGAAGATGAAAATATTTTTAGGAATGCAAAAATCACCGGCCCTGGAGAATGATTGCACGCAATTTCTCACAAGCCCTGAGCTGAGCAGCAGCAAAATACACCGTAAAACCTAAAATATGTAAATAATGCACCAAATGTTAAAACAGCACCAACCTATTTTACTTCTTTCCATGTACCACAATCTTAACATCACCCAACATTCTCCCAAGCACATCCCCGATACTGAACGAGTAGTCGCCCTGCAACTGCACGACCTTCTTGTCCTTGGACAGGTTACCACCACACGACAGCTTACGTCTCAGTTCCTTAAGAATATCCGTTATCATCTCGTCTTCTATGCCTGTTATCGTTGTAACCTTCTTTTTGCCGTATATCTGTTGGATGCGCACATGAATCTGCTTTTCGTTGTCCATTGGTGTTAGTTCATGGGACATGAAAGAATTGCCTAGGGGTACGAAGATTTTACGTAGATATGGAGGATTTGGTGAGCACAGGCAAAAGGGATGGGGTGAGCACAGATAAAAGGGATGGGGTGAGCACAGATAAAAGGGATGGGGTGAGCACAGGCAAAAGGGATGGAGTGAGCACAGATAAAAAGCAATGATTAATAAAAAAAAGAAAATCACATTTAATCAACATGCACAAGCAAAAAATAAAAAGCGATGAGCACACCGGTTCAGCGGTTAAAAAAAGTATTGAGGGTGTGATAAATACCAAAAGGGAAGGAATAAAATATTTGATTGGTGAAGGGTGCATGAGGGTGTTAGCGAAGTAGTAAGGGTTGGTGTACGGGGTAAGAAACGAAGAGGTGGTAAAAATGAGAATTAGAGCAACGCTCTAACACAGCACCTATCATTAACTGGTGCTACTCCACGTGCTACATCCTTATTGATCCGTTTACCACAGGTAGCACGGCTGATTACGTACACCGTATTTTTTGCACAGTGCGAAGAACGGTTCTATGCTTTAGCACGAGCGGTAATTTCTAACCGTTTTAAATAACGTAATAAAATATTTTAGTGGTGTTTAAAAACGATTTAAACAACAGTTTAGCCCTGGTCTAAGCGCATCAACCCTAACAAATCACTACTTGCTGTTCCTTATCCTTCCGTACACGTGGTACACCGTTCTTCTATTCTCGTGCTTAACCCCCCGTTCACTACCCCTAGCAAACAACCATTCCTTCAGCTCATCACTAACACCCTCAAAACAGTGTGCCATCTCCTCGTACACCCTGAGAGTGCCCAAAGGTGCACTCAACATGTCATCAACCACCAGCATGAAATTGAAAGCGCGCTCAACGTACCGCCTCAGCACGTAGTTCTTGATTTGCACGTTCCTCAGCTCAAACAGCACACATTCATGCTCCGCATTGACCCTCAACCGCTCATACACCGCAAGCATGAGGAAGTAGAACTTGTCGGCGAACCTGCTCTCTATCTCAGCGCTGTCTACGTAGCGGAAAATGTGCAGCAGCATGGATGCATCGAGCTGATCGATCATTTTAAGGATGTAATCTGTGCATGTGGTGTAGCATGGCATTGTGTACACCGAGTACACCAGGGCGGGTACGTGGATGGGTAGGAGATGGGGAAGGATGGGAATGACTTGGTACTTGTCGGGTGTAGAGGACGAGTTGAGGATCGTTAGAATGGCATCTATCCGATCGGGACTGGGCGTGTGAATGGTGTTGATTGGCACAGTAGGGAGTGGTTGATCGTTCATAACAGGGGCAGTAAATCGTAAAAATATTTTATGAGCTGTGGATGGGAGTGGGGAACGGAGAGTGGTACGGGATGGCAAGGAGGGAGTTGAAAGTTGCATGGCAGGTTGATAACGTAGGATGAAAAGGTCTTCTAACACCGCAGTGCGTGCTCGTCTCAATTGCCATTACTAGCAATTCTTCCTCCACGGCATTGTCTAACACCGCAGTGCGTGCTCGTCTCAATTGCCATTACTAGCAATTCTTCCTCCACGGCATTGTCTAACACCGCAGTGCGTGTTCGTCACTTCAAATACGCTTGCAATTGCAATCCCAGCACAGGTAGGAACGGTCCACGGCTCTCTCAGAACGTACTGCTTGGTGTTGAACTGCTGTTCAAGAAATGAAAAGCACGCATTTACTTCGCTGCTCAACGCGTGCTACAACGCTGCTTTTCATTTTGAGCAGCAGTTCAACACCAAGCGGGCCACGCAACTACCGCGGTCAAACACTTCCACAGCACTCATACGGAACAACAACTTGCCATTGCTGTGTGATCCTCTCCACCAGGCACGTACCAAGCAAGCCTTCCCTACACGGTAGATTCAAGCCCAGAAACGGTGCGTGTTAACCGCTCCTGAACCATCCATGATCACCACGTTCTCGTTGTGGGATGTACAGCCTTGTACGTTGATAATTTCCTCATTTGTTCCAATGCTCGTCACATTTCTTCATTTTATCCTTCGTATGTTTTTTGCTGACCGTTAAAGATGAGCTGTCAAGCATTTACAACAAATTTTCACTTTTTTTCTTCTCGTATCCGTGATGAGTAGAGCGTTGATAATTCTGGTGAGTTCACTGTTTCTTCTCATCGCTGTGTGGTACTGCCAAGTATTTTTTTGTTTATGCAAGAATTTTCCCTTTTTATACCTGCTGTGCCCATCGCGTGCATAAATAATGAACTGAGCTGCACTACCCGATTGTTTTGTTATTTTCGCTCTCATGGTGCACAGAAGTGCACCTCGCGCCTTCAATTCGTGAACGTGTGCACCCCACAATTTTAATTTCGTTTTATTTTTTCATCGAATTTAATTTGAAATTTTTATTGACCCCCAGAAAAACACGATGGAAATTCCTTTGACAAGCATAGACCAGGCACTTAACATCGTTGCATCGCTGGTGTGCATGCAAGCAACGAAGTACGTTGAGCTGTCCCGTCCGCTCTATCTGTGGACACTTCGTGTTCTGTACGTTGTAAGTCAGCTGTTGTTGTTCCTGTGCGTGCATCTCATCAAGAAGAGCATAGTGCGGCAGAATGACAGGCGGCTGGTGAAGGTGCCGCGCGAGCTGAAATGGAACGAAGTGCCTGAGACAAGCGAGGAAGAGTTTGAAGAGATAACTTACAGTGAGTACGATACAAGGGAGGTTGGACGGCTCGTCAAGAGTGCGCTGTTTCAGGTTCCGATCGTTTTGTTCTTGCATCTTAAGTTTGGACTGCCGCAGCCGCTTGCGCTCCAGGCTATTTCTATCATCAAATCGTTCTTCCTTAATCCACTGTTCATCGCGCATCTGAGACATAAAAGCGTTTTGAGGCCTTTTGATAAGAACGTGCTCTTTGGCAAGGCTAAGGAGACCAGCGAGGAGAGGAGAAAAAGAGAGGGTGAAACCGAAGAGGAGAGTAGGAATGTGGAGGAAAAAGTGAAAGATGTGACGGATGGTATTGTTGATACAGAGAAGGAGACGAGTACGGTCAAGGAGCAAAGTATTGATAAGGAGGTGAATGAGAACAGTAGCACGAAAAGGAGAGAGGAATAATTAAATTAACTACATTTAGTTAGTTGCTTAGAAAGGTCTAGTGCTGCACGGAGATGGATTGGTGGTATTTTGCACATCGTGGTTGGTTTGCCCACAATTATAGCATAGGGTTGTGTAAACGGTGTATGGCTGGGGTAGGTCTCCAAAGCGTACTTTACAACGTATAGCATGGTTATTGAGCATAGGTGTAAATCACGTAGCTGACAATTTATCGTGTTCTGGCACCGCGCTCGTTTGGCAAAATTAAGAGGAAAGTGCCCAGAAAATTTAGTCGAAAATTGTCAATACGATGAATAATTTTATCTTTTTCTATTGCATTCTAACCTCATGAATCAACACATCGTTACACTCAATTATTAATTCGCTCACTTTACGTTCTTTTCTTGTGTTCCTATACCACCCGTGTGCAACTGCAAATTACGTATCTTGAATACTTCAATTGACGGTGGCAGCACAGAAATAAGACATGAATTACTGAAGATTCGTATTTTTATAACCAGATCTTCAAGCAGTCATACAATACTCGATGGCTTAAGCGTGTGTTCAGCCATCCAATTTATATATGCTATGGACGGATCGGTAATGTTCGATAGCTTGAGTTGTTGATATGTCCTAAAGAAGACCATCAGCAATGTGTTCCGCACATATGGAATTCCAAGAAATGTAGTAATTAATGGGCAGTTGAAAGAGCTCATTTACGTTATAAGGCTGCAATAGAGTGCTATAATTTAGCATGTGCCTTCACAACATAGCCATATTAATTTCTCCATAAATTACATACCACACCAAAAGTGCTTAATGAAAAGCGGAAGTATGTTAATGAATCATCATAAATTGTTGTCATTAAAAGTTGATTTTCTCACAACTGCTCTAAAAATGCAATATTCTCATCTATGCATACGCTGTCGGTTAATGCCAATTAATTTGCGTACTATGTTCCCATCACGGTAATTGATTAATAAATTGGTTTTAAATCACGTATTACTTGCCAATCATAGCGAATCAAATCTTTGGTAAATAATATACTTTTGACGAAAAAATCTTTATTTGCTCTATCCCGTATAATCACCAACACCATCGATATTCGCTTCATCTAATAAGCGATCAAACGTACTTCTCATTATGAATTCTATAGTTTTGTGCCAAGGCCGTTTATCACCTGTCATACATGCACACAGCTGCAATCCATACCTCAATATTTTATACCTGCATACGCAAGGCCCTTCTTGATCACCTCGATCTGCTTCTTCTTGATCATTCCGTTCAACTTTGGAGAGTATCTGATGACTGCCCGTCCCCTCCAATCCTCAAAGTAGCATTCATGAATCTTTTTAACTTCCATTACGTACCATGCTATACCATCCTTAACAAGAAAGCGTCTTCGGCTGAGCGTTCCCTCCACACCAGCCTCCTCCCACGCCTCTCTCTGTGCACAGTCTCTCGCCTCTTCTGTCATCTCTATCAGACCCTTAGGAAGAACTAGTTTGCCCTTGCTGTTGTACACCATAACAACTTTGTTGTTCATAATAGGCACTACACCAGAACATAATATCTCTCTATTATCGATACACAACGAAACGATAAGATCCTTCATGTAAGTGAGCGTGTAAGAATAACAGGAGGGCTCCTTTATATCTTCCTTTTCGTGCTTGTGTATTGAAATGGAAGACTCATAACTTAAGGCGTCTACATCGGACATTATGTTGTAGCATGAAGGCGGGTCTGTGCGTTTGATGTCCCAACTCGAACGCTTAATATTAGCCACTTTTTTAGGCAAAGCTTTGTTTTTAGCGCCGCTCTTTGACTTTGCTCTCTTGTCTCCGTTTCCTGTTTTTTTGTTTTCCATTGATGCCACCCCTTTTTTAGGCTTTTCATTGAGTCTTTGCTCTCCTTTTTCGCTCCTTTTAGTTTTTCCTTTCTTAGGCTGCATCTCCGATTCAGCAGCCACGTCAGCCTGTTGTTCATTTGACTTTTGCATGCAATGCATGCTATTATCGCTCATACCGCTTTCGCACCGTACCACACCATCCGTGTTGATACAATGCATCTTCTTATCCGGTATTCCTTCATCCACTTGTATATTATCGACCACCACACTCTTCTTTGTTTCTGAACTTTTAGATACCGGTGAATAGATGTACACGCACCGCTTCAGCGGCTCACCGCAGTTCTCCTCGCGTGTGGTCGCAAACAATTCATCCTCTCGCTTGTCCGATGTGTGTGTTTTCATTCTCTGCTGTTCTTTGGGCCATTTTCCCTGTTTCGCTGGTATCGGTTCGCATGAACTGGCGAACGGTGCTATCTCTCCCAAATAAGGTTCGTTCTCAGACCTTCTATTGCCTGATCTCTTTATCTTTCTACCTTCCCTCGATTTCCTACAGGCACTATGCATGTTCGACTTCCGGCTTTTACACACCTGAGTGCCATCGTGTTTGCACGGGCTTCCGCCCTTTACTCTCTCCCGCACATCATCCTTTTCGATCCTTTCCCTGTTATTGGAGTTAGCAGACATGACGAGTAAACACTTTTTCCGTTTCTTTTATGTGCATTCTCTCTGACATGTTTCAAATCACCAAACGAAACGCTTCATTTTATCGCCATTTCAGACGCATGAAGGATCCTCTGGTGCCACGGTATATTCGTTTTTTTGTCCCGTCCGGGCACATAGAACGCTTTCTGGTGCCGCTGTGCATTATTTCACTGCCATTCGTGCAACACTTCAGCTTTTAGCACACTCATAACGAATAACGGTTTGTTACGTTATCTGTTCTGAAACACGGTCAAACCGTGTTTTAAACAATCATTGCTGATCAATAAATGATGCCTTCACGAACCGGTCCAATGCACAAAAACATGTTGTCTACAGAGAGTGCAGCATCGTACCTCTACATCCATTTCAATACGCTGTTACGCGATTATCCATTTTACAATTCTACCGTCCACACACTCCCTAATATCTCAAATTTTACCCCCTAGCCATGCCGTACATCATTCCAACTCTTCTAGGAACAGTACCATACCTCCCCTTCAAACACATATCACATCCCATCGAGATATTTTTAGAAGACTTTCCCATACACCGCATAAAAAGCGAGAGCCTGCCGCTTCCACATCTCATGCACTGCACCAACACGGTGTACCTATCACTGAAAAATGGTATGTCCGGCCGTTCCACACTCATACACACGAAGCAGGGCTGCGTAAGAATAGATGACAGAAAATTGCAAAGTATCGCACAGAACAACAACTTCAGAATTGCACATATCGATGTGCCATCGGACATCAGCGCATTTATAGCGCTGCTTGTGCATGAGAACGCGCCAAAACAGGTCAGCACCCGCTTTGTTAATGAGCTGGATCGAAGGATCGTGATCAACGATGATGATACGAACCATAACACACTGTTTAAGCCTTTTAATGAAGATTACGTGGATTATCTGAGGGAGTGTGGGGATATGCTGTACATGAGCGTGGTTGTTGAGCATAACTACGGGGTGATTGACCATGTTGTGAGTACACTCAGCGAATTCGAGGACGGAGTGCTCGATATTGCCTACAAGTAAGAGAAATCTCATAAGATGGAGTAAAAGAAGTATTTGATATTTATTTGTGTTTTATTGGTTATTGGATAAGAGAATGCATAAATAAACCGTAATTAATGTTAACGTTGAAAGAATATCCTTTATTGTAGATTACTGTGTTGTTTCACATCGAGTACTCCTATCAACCGTATATCACGTGTAATACATCGTAGTAAACCATGTGCAATACTTTAATGTTTATTTAGGACTGAAATTGATTTTCTCAGGTACTCGAAAGTTCTTTACTTCCTTGTACTTGAAGAGACACTCGCTAAGCTCGTACTTTTTCTTCCCTATTCGTTCTCGTCCCTTGTTGATAACCTTAAAGCTGTGCAGCTTATGCTTACCCGTGCACATCTCCTCTTTTGTTAATGCACAGTCCTTCTCACCTATTTCGTGCAAATACATGCACTCACAATTCTGACATATCAGGTTCTTGAGGAAGAACGAGCAGTATTTGGTCGTACCAAAAGTGCATTTAAGCGCTCTTCCCTCGAGCAAGCTCTCATCCACTTCTGTTATGCAGCGCACTGCGCTGCTCTCTTTCTCATACGTTATGTACGCAGACACACTCTGGTCGGTCATAGATCGGTTCTTTATGACGAGCTTTTTGATGTTACCGAACTGCCCAAAAAATTCGTTGCTTTTCAGGACGTTCTCATCAGCGTACTTCACAGGTATTCCTATTATATACACGAGATTACGCTGTATTACACGGATGTCAGTGTATTCGTGTGGCTTGTATTCAGGCTTGGGTGGCTTAACAGGTTGATTTTCTCTCAGCATGGGATGGTTTATTTGTTATTTTTTATTTATGCATTTTTGTGATGTGTTCATGTTTATGACAGGTTTGTAGCTAAATGTCTTAACTCAGCCGTTGGTGCATTGTATAACATGTAAATGCATAATTTTCTATGCATTGTAATTCCTATTCGATAGCAGTTCTAAGGTAACAAAGTGTAGCGTATTTTTTCATTCCTGTGATTAGTTCGTATTGTGACGGGCTCATATCGCAATCTCCCGTTTTTCTCGTTTCAGAAATTTTCACTATCACATGTTGGTGAAATAATCGATTAAACACTTTTTCCCCTTCGTGCATTTCATAGAAATTCTCAACCCGCGGTGTGTTTCAACCTCATGTTTAGCAAATCATGTATCGCTTACGAATGCTCGTTGTTCATGTGTTCATCGTATACAGGATGTGCTAGTGTTTCTGTTCCGTGTTAAGCGTTCAATGTCATGTGTTAATGCATAGAAAGTACCATTTGCTATTTTAAGCGATTTTAAGTATTTGGTCTAGAGCAAATATTTTAAATTAATATAATTATGATCAGTGGCATGGAAAATAAAATAATGCTTGCTACAGGGATAAACTTCGTATTCCAGTGTATAATAAAATGTTCTAAATACCAAAATAGTATGATAGAACTGATACGTCCTACAATAGCAAGGGATTGTTAAACGTTGTAACAATCAAAAATGTAACATGCATCTGCAATCCACACAGAATTGTGCTTGAGACCACGCAAAGCGTTCTTTAAGAAGAAGCCTGGTTTAAGTTCACATGAGGAGGTAACAATGCTACACCAAGGTGTACAATCCACAAGTAGTTACGTATATTCACGATACATTGCTAGATTGCGTGCAGATAGGTATGATCTAATCATTTTTATTGTTTGAAGAAAGATATTATTTAATTTAGTACGGAGATGTGGTATTTCACAATTTTATGCATCGCATAAATTAAGCTAAATAAGATTTATAAAACTATAAAAGCAACGAAAATGAAAATAGCAGCAATGAAAAATACTCATATCTTCCTGCATTTGCTTACGTAATGGGATGAGAATGAATTGTTGGTGTGATTGGAACGGTTGTATAAGGATTTGAGGCAATTTAGGGTGTTCGCAGAAGGTGCTTTGTTCACTTCGGAACAATTTCGTGTTAGTGTTGCCGTTTTGCATACCTCATCGAGTGCATTAGCTGTTTTTGTGGGTGGTCATGCGCATCGATGAACACGTGACAGCATGTTTGTAGCAAAACACAAATTTACGAAGAAATGCCAAACCATCTCAAATATGAAACATCATGCAGTGTTTGACAGAACACGCCCACAAGCACCAGTAATTTACCGTAACCGTGCTGGATGCAACTCAATCACGGGCCCAGTTCACTACCGGGTACAACGAAGAATTCGCGCATATCGAGTGGTAGACTACGCGTTGCATGCCAGGTCACAAAGAAAATATTTAATCACAGGTACCGCTCAAGATTATCGATTGTCCTGACATTCTCGCCAAGTTTCAAGACATAGCCTTCCAAATTTTCCTTTTTCATTTCATCGCTCTCACCATGCGCATTCTTCATTGCACTTATTGCCAGGTCAAGCATATTCTCGTTGCTCACATCCTCGTTGTCTTCAAAGTACTTTTCAAGGATTGTTCTGCAGCTCTGTGCTCTATTCCCGATAGCAACCGCCCTAGCCATTCTTATCGTTCCTGTGGGCATCCATTCCACCACCTTTATCTTCCCATCATGTTCAACGCCCAATATCCCACCGCATCCAAACAGTCTATCGCTGCTAATCATTGTCCTAGAACTCGCCGTAGCACTTATCTCATTGAACACCTTCATAGGATCGACCGCTCTATTCTTCCACACATTCTCGCACGCCATCTCCTCAAGAACGTACCTTATCAATTCCAGTCCATCGTTGGTCACACCTGAGAACGTAAAGAAAAGGTTCTTCCTTACGAACACCTTTTTCATGGCGTGCTGCAGTCTGTTAGTGCTGTGGTGATGGACAAGAAGGATGGCTTGGTTGTGATTTGTTATGCATAGTGCTGTGCTGCCCAGAGAAATCGATTGTTGCACGTGTGAAAGGGAATTAACCTTGCCGTCAGGTGCATAGATGGACACGCCTGCATATTCTGTGTATGTACCGCTCATGGAAGGGTACAAAAATTAATGATTTAAATATTTTAATGCGAAACAAAGGGTAACAGAGATGAAACAGCAGTGATAACGAATGATGAGCATTGATTGAGGAGAATAAGTTGTTTGGCGGTGAGGGAGAAGTGAATGGCAGGGGTGTGTGACTGGTATTATATCGTGATGTGGTACGGATACCGGTGCAGTGGTATGATCGGACAGGTGATGTGACTAAGCGTAGCATGGGGTGTAATAAAACGCACTAAAACAGATAAATAATACTTCGTATGGCGCGAATACACACCGTAAAGTACGACCAGCTGCCTTGCAGCGTAGGAACAACACGCAATTAACGGAGAGTAGAACGCAATCACAGCGAACAAGCGCATTAAAAGTACCTGCTCTCGTTGCAAGGGCTGAGCAACGCAAGCACTACAGAACATTGCAAGTGCCTCACCAGACGTGTTGACAGCGGTGTGTTTCACACCAAGGAACGCCTTTCACGTCATATTAATGCACGATAATGAAAAGAATTGAAAACATGGAAGAGCTTTTAATGGTGGCGCATTTGTAGGAGTGCGTAAAGTGCGATGAGTACGGAACATGAGAGGAAGGGCACTCTCCTTCCATGGCACTCCGTGCCGTGGTAACGAGTGTACCACTCACAAACAGTTCTCGATCTGTAACGAAGACGTGTTTTACTTTGCTGCCCGCATTCACCTCAGTACAAAATTAACGTGTTCATTCACAAGCTCAACTCCATCAACAAAGTGTTCCAAGCTCTCTCCATACAGCCGAATAACATCATCGGTATAGTCAACCTTGAATTCCTCTTTCTTTATGTCTTTGGCCTGCTCAAACAGCCTTCTCGTAAAGTTGATCAGCCTGTCACTCTCAGCCACGTATATCGAATTGTGGCTGTGCGTGTTGATCACGTTCTTGAAGATGGCGAGTATGTCGCTCTCCAACGAATTTATGTTCGAGTAGTGGCTCAGTCTCTTTGTTATGGTCGTAAGATTATTTGCTGATGGATACTCTGTGAACAGATTGAACGTATCGTTCTTCGATATCAGTTCCATTATTTTGTACAGCATTACTTTTTGGAGGGGTACCATAATTTATTTTTGTTTTGTCCGGTAGAATGCGCACGTCGGTGCGTATGAGGGGATGACCTCATGCAAAGGGTAGCATGGTGTACCGGTGATGAATTCACGGTGTGAAAAGACTGGTGTTGGGATCAAAGTATGAATGTGAAGATATTAAAATGGAAGGGTTTTATTTACGTTGGGGGTGGACTGGTAATATTAGCAAATACGTTGGAATTGCTTATTTCATTTATTGTTGAGCTGGGAAGGAAAAGCATTTGCAAACAATTATCATTCAGAAGAGGATACTTCGTATAGCGGGGTAGAACAGTAATTACTGCATTGGTGGAGGGTGACCGCCATATATCCGGAGAATGCCCATCCGTAGCTGAAATGAAGGAGTAACCCTGACAAGGCCCTTGTTCTTCGAACCAAAAAACACTCATGCTATGCAAGAAGCAGAAGATACGTCTACATGCCGTTACCAGGGCGTACGTAACGTGTGGTACATTCTAAGTGCCTTCATATAAACGGGTTTAATTACAAATCAGCAGCACCAATACCATGCGTTAATGCTCCGCTACTTTAAATTAATGTTCACCTCATCGTTCTTCTTAAAGGAGAGCAAAATCTCGCACGCCTTCTCATCGTCCTTCTCTTCGCCCTCTCTGTCCGTATCTACGCTGTGAGTACGTCTCGGTGCATGTTCGGCATTCACAACAGGTACTGACCGTGCCGCGTGATTGTACTGCTCACCATCCTCGTGCTGTGCATGTGATGTTAGGAACTGATCATGGGATGCACTGCTCGTGTTACGCACGTGACCGGGCCGTGGCAGAACATTTGCTGCGCGATACGCCGGATCGGTGAGAGAAAAAGGCGTGCCATTCGCATTACGGCGCGGCAGCACCCTCAGAACGGGTGCATCATCGCTCACCTTCATACGTGTTGATGCCATTGCCGTGCTTATCTCCTCTTCTGTTCTTCTTCTTGGCGATGACGCATTTTGATCAGACTGCAGCGCAGGTATCTCAAGGGAGTGTCTGACACGCGGGGATACGTCGAAGGAACGCCTTACACGTGGTGACATTTCAAGAGAATGCCTGGCATAGCCATCACCAGTTCGTTTTCTGTTCCTCTCGCCCGTTCTGTCATACGTATCATCGTTCTTGTTCCGTGCTCGCATCTCCTCATTTCTTCTTCTCTCGCCTGCATCTTCCATTCCCTCATACGTGTACACATCATCGGTCCGTCTCCCGTCCGCTTCCTCGACCCGTCCACCATCGTTTCCATCACAATCGCTGCGCACAGCTCCTTCAGCCATTTCATGTTCCGATCCCTCGCCTTTGCACTCGTCTTTTCCCACATCACTGCCCATCTCGTCCCCATCCTCTCCGTAGCTCTTGCTTCTGCCCTTCTCGCCAACCGTTGCTGCCACCAGCCTGTCCAGCCCATTCATCTCGTTGCACACGCTCATCGCCCGTCTCTTAATCATTCTCTTCTGCACTTTGCTGTTCCAGTAGTTCTTTATCGCATTGTCCGTTCTTCCAGGCAAATATTTCGCGATTTCACTCCATCGATTACCAAAACGAGCATGCAACGAGCAGATAAGGCGGTCTTCGTCCGTACTGAACGGTGCCTTGTTAATTGCCGGGTGCAGATGGTTATGCCAGCGTTCTCTGCACTGCTTGCCCACGCGGGTCTTCATCAGCTTGGCAATCAGCGACCAGTTCTTCGGTTTGTGAATGTTAACGAGCGATATAAGACGGCGGTCCTCCTCTTTGGACCACGGTCCCTTAATTATCTCTGATTTCTTTCCTGTCATCTTCGACTTGTAGAAGTCCTTGTAGTAGAGATGGCCTGTTTGAAAGGAATTGGGCAGTGGTATGTCCGGGTTGTTTGCCATCGCCGTGACACGACCTATGCTGCTCTCGTTCGCCTTGCCACGGTTCTTTGAGTTGTTGATCGCTGCGTACGTGTTGCTGTGATTGAGGCCCCTGTAATGGTCGAGCCCGAAATCAAAGTGCGCTTTTCGCGGGTCTTCCAGTTCGAGCATACTCAGCGCTCTTCGGTCTGCCGGGTGGTCACCGGTACGTACGTTAACCTCGTTTATGCGGAAATCGCGGCTGTTAAAATCGATCATGTGCTCCTTGAACACACGCGTACGCTCATCATCGGGGTGCGCACGTTCTTGCGCATCTGCATCATCGGCTCTGCGATCGCTGTCAGGGGTGTTCCTGTACACATCTGAGTTGTGTTCTTCTCCCTTGAGCGTGCTGCTGATAGAACACGTATCTTTTTCGTGGGCACTACGAGGAGCATCTGTTCGCGCGCTGTGCATTTGATGACCGTTCCTGCGGTGCTCACCGATCTGGTACCTGTCATCGTGGTAATCGCCCTCATTGCGTCTTTCGTAGGCATTTCTAAGGTGCTTGTCCCTTAGCTGCTCCTCTTTTGCGGTCTTACCCTCGCGGTACTCGTTCCCGTATTTGATACGGTTGCTCTTTTCCCTGCCACGCAAGTATTCCTCGTTCACACGCTCGCCATGACCGATCAACCGGTATTTCTCTATTCTGCTGGTGCCACTCTCAGTTCGGTTGCTGTTCCTGCCCTTGTCACTTTCATTCCTATCAGCACACCCTTTCATCCGCTCTTCAGCTGCCCTGCTGTTCTCGTTCCGCTCCTTTTCGTTATCGCCGCGCGATACCCCCATCATTCCATCATCAGCACAACAAATATCCGCATCATGCAGCGCATCGGGTGCAAGCTCGCCAACCACTGAGTGGCTCCTTGTGCGGTGCACCGCGGACTTTACCCTTCTATTTATGGCATCCCCAGATTCTGCCGGCTCCCCACGCGTACCATCCTTTACGTTCACATACTCTTCGTACACACCCCTGTGTTCCTTTGACGATCTGCCACCACCACCCCTACCACCCTTGCTCTTGTCCTTTGCCTCGACGGCCGCATTCCTGTTGTTGTCCATTCGGGGCTTGAGGATCATTTTTTTATTTTTTAAGTAAATTTGATTTTTTGTTCAGCGCGTTGATAAAAAAAGGAAATTCGTGTTCCGATAAGTGCACTCAGCCCGTAGCACATGCCGTGCGTATGTGCATGGCATGTATGCACATGCTTTTCTATAACATTTCCTTTTTGTAGTAATGTCATTTTGATAGCTTTGATTGATTGACATTGTTTAAAAAAAGTAAAAATTAATGAAAGAAGCGGGCAATCGTGTACAAGTGATAAATTAATGAATGTTATTGTTATGGTAGTTAATAATGATATTAATAAGCATTTATAAGGAAAGATACAGAAATAGATGATTGATTGCAGGTGATAGGAACGATTCGAGGGGATAGGTTTAAGGATGGAATTAGGTTGGATTGATAAGGATGGGATGTGGTATTTGTGAGGAGGGGTAAAGGATGGTAAAGTGGAGGGGGGGGGGTAAAGATGGTAAAGTGAGGGGGGGGTAAAGGATGGTAAAGTGAGGGGGGGGTAAAGGATGGTAAAGTGAGGAATAGAAGTGAGGAATAGAAATGAGGAATAAAATATACATAGAAGTGAGGAATAAAATATACATAGAAGTGAGGAATAAAATATATTAATAGAATATAATTTAAAATATATTATTGAGTATAATTTAAAATACATAATATAAAATATTATTTAAAATACATTATATATAATACAAAATGTTATTGAACGGTATAAAACGCTCATTACTGTTCAGCAGTATTAATTATTTTATCACATAACTGCCTTTAACACTCAAAATTAAAGGCTAATTCAATATCAAGTATCGGATGAAATGGCAATTTCTAAATTTAATTAAAAAGTAAATTGGCGTAGAAAAGAAAATTGGTGGAATACGTGCACGTGCTGAGCGCATACACGGTGCATTCATGTACTACATCTCGTGCACGGTGCTGAAGAGTGGTACGATGCGATCAGCTCTCCGATAGCATATCTAACTACGTTGCCGTATCTATCGGCACGTTCTGTTATTTTTTAATCCATCAATCACTGATAGATTAAATTTCGTTATTCATGACGTTCTCATAAATCACCCCGTGCGTACGATCAGTTTTGATTGACGGGCGATTAATTGCGCTCGTTTTATCACGCTGATCCTGAATGATAAATGGGGAGCATGGCGTGGCAATGTGATTGACAGCGTTTGAGTGGCGTATAACGGTGCCGTTGGGCGAAACGTGTGATGGCGCACTTATTCGGTTGGCAGCACCTCGCTCTTCACAAACATGGCGCTGCGCATGAAGAGCGCTGCACCGTGCCTGTTGGCGTGTTTCGGTGCTTCGCTATTGAAAAGTATATTTTAGCTTATTTGGAAAATTAATTTAGATTAATTAAAGTTTAATTGTTTGGCGCTGTGGTTGAGCACATATGCTGTGTTATACATGCACCGTGCAATTATTCGGCTGAATTGAGCACCGTTGTGCTATCTGATCAGCACGAAGGCGCGTTTCTTTACATCCTGCTCTGTGAATAACAGGCAGACAATGTAACTGCACAAATGGCAGGAAGCATCTTTTTTGAACGTGATGAACTTATTGTGAGTGTTGCACGGCTTATAAGAACGGTTTTGTGGTGAATTGGGGGTAGAAGGGGCAGACAGCCCTGCCTTGGTACATTAGTACCGCATACGATTCGTTTGAGTTCTACTGATCGGCACGTACCGGTCAATGCTTGCCAAGATACCTTTGTTCTCTTAAATACGTACCAGGTTAAAAATACGTAGTAAATACGCAGTGCCATGGCGTGTTACCACGAAATACCATGCTATATAAAAATATTATTTTTAGATGTTGTATTAAATTACCGGAATGATATGATTGATTCGTATTTTCTGTGAAATGGGGGTTGCTAAGTTGTAATTCGTAACAGCAGGGCCCGTTACGCGCACTCCCGTTGAAGTGCTGCAGGAAAGCAGTCATTCATAGGAAAAGACAGAAAAATAACAACACCGGGCCACCTGCTCATTGGCACGATATGTCGGTAATTAAAAATGTTTTTCATCTGAAGCAGGTTGGTTTACCGCTACGCTACTTTTATATGCCTACGCTTTCATGGACTTGGAAATGGTGCATCCTACAGACCAAGCACCTAACAAACTTGCTCAGTGTTTCTTTGCACCCCACACGAGCGCAATTAGGCATTTGCCGGTCTGCATTTAGAAATGCACGGCTCAGCTAAATGATTCAATTTTTTGTTGGTACGAGTGTTAAACTTGCTGTTGACGTGATAGGCCAACAATTTGCACAGCTTTAATACGGTATTTACGGGTTATTTGAACACCATCATACGCGTCAAATACCTTCATCCCGTTCATAGACGTAAAGAAGACACTGAAAATGAGAACTAAACATTTTTAGTGAAATGTTTCGGTAATTATCCGAAAAAAACTTTAAATTAAATAAAAATATACTTAATATAGCACTGAGATTAATTGTTGAAGATGAAGGAATGCGGTACATATATCAAGAGGAAATGCTAAATTGTGCTCATAAATGAACAAAGTAAACTTAGAATCGGTAACATAACTCGGTAGATGTTACAGCGAAGAAAAACTTTTTTTAGATGAAAAATGGAGTTGCTACACCAAAATGATATTATTGCCATAGTGTCATGAAATACGGCACAGGATAATTTGTCATTGTATAGATAATCGGGCAAACGGAAAAGTTTCTTTCGTGGTTGTTATTTCGGGTATTGCACATGCTTTTGCTAATATTAACACGGGCCGTGAAATGTTGTTAATTAGTAAATGTGCTTGGTTGTGATAAATACGGTGAAATTATACGGCATCACTGTGTTGTGCGGGCTCGAAGCGATTATTTAAGAGACAAAGAGCACAAACTCGTACTGGCAGGTGTTGAACGGTGTAGTAAATATGTGTTGTAAGTTTCATTGAGAACAGGCCTTGAACGGGACTCACGGTAACCTCTCAAGGGAGTTTATGAGCTGTCTGCAGTTGTACAAGGCTTGGTATAGAGGCTGTGGTTTGAGTAGGCCCAAAAAAGCATATTGGACAGAATAGGTGTGAAACACAACATTTCACACAGCTGTTTTAAACGTACGCCAATCCTTGGTCAGCTAACAATCTATTTCCTAATTCCTTTACTTTCTGTAACACCAGCTTTTCCGTTTTTATGAGATACTAGTACGCGGTATTATCCTTTCCTCTGTTTCCCTGTGGAACCCGCTCAAATCAAAAGCTCAATCTTCACTTTTTGATCAACTTTGAGTTGAAATTACCTACCATACACCGGGCATACCATCAATACAACGATAACTTGAAGGCTAATTGGTGCGTTGGTATGAAATTATTTGATTCTCAAAAGATAGAATGCTTATATTTCTTGCCGAGTATATTATCATCGCTATTAAATTCGTTTTCTTGAGGCATGCTCAACCGCTCTTGACAACGAATACCTACAGAGACACGATTTATAGTCCATAATTAATTTTGTGATCGTTGCCAAAAAGGTAAAAGAAGAAGCAGCGGAAAAAAGTAAAATGATTGATTCAGAAAAAATAAATGCTATCAAACAGATAATTAAATTGTTGTTTTATTCTGGAACGGGAATGATGCGCTGTTTAAGCATGCTAAATTATCTTTTCACATGTTATTACCAATAATTATTTATTACACCAAAAAATTTGCCATATTTGGACATGACTCAGCTATTTTATGTATTCGATTGTTTCTGACCTTGTACTTGGATTTCTGCACCGTTTCATGCTTGGTAAGACTTCGCTTTAAATTTGTGGGTCTCAGGCACTGAGTGTGTCTGAGAGGATGACACGTGAAACGAAGATAGCTAAGGCTATGGTAGGTATACGGTATGCCAGCAAATTGGCTTGTGTGTTGTTGTGACATCTTTCAGCAAACTTTCCGAATACGAATGAAGCACTTTATTGCATTTGTTAGGTAGCTGTTCTCAAATAAGACTTGGTAGCGGAGCGTACTGCTAGTTTTGATTCTCGTTAATTGATGCCCGCTTGATATTTGCTCTCAGAGCCTGCCTGTCAAAGAGAGCTATCCCGCTATAGCCTTGCGGACATTCGGTTCATGAAGGTAATTCTGTCTTAGACGTAAGGTATATTAGCAGCCGAGACCTGCTGAGATTAGGTATATCGTTACGATTTACACTTTTAAAGGGTAATCGTTCCCTAACGCTATCCACGAGTCATCATTTCTCGGACACTGCTGTGTTAAAGTGACATGAGAAGACGAATAAACAACTTTAATGAACGAATCTCGCTTTTAGAGTTACTACACCCCCATGCCATATCACAATTACACACCCCCATGCCATACCACAATTACACACCCCCATGCCATATCACAATTACACACCCCCATGCCATACCACAATTACACACCCCCATGCCACACCACAATAAAGCTATCTCTTTGAACAGCACCCGTAATTCGTTCAAACCACATTTTGTGGTGCTTTACATGTTTTGCAAGCTGCTTGCGGTAAAATTATTCATTGCTTCAGTTGCACGTCTGAATAAAGATAGCTTTGATGACCGGTCGGTATGAGCAGATCATGATTTTGTTATGCTCTGATTTATCCGAATCAGTTCTTGACCGCAGCACCCTTTCTGTAGTGTTCGTGTGGCACAGCCTGCTTGTACATGAATCTGGCCAATCCTTCGACCGCTTATCAGGGAAGAACAATTTGTTTTTTTCTTCCACGCCTGAACCGCTCCTCGCTTCATACCCATCCGTTCTGAACAATTCCGGCACTCACACGTGCTGCCCCTTCTCATCCGTTCTACCTGCCATGGTTCCGCCCGTCTGCCAAGCATTTCACACGCCCCTTTATCCCTTGCTGCCGACCAATCAAAGCTACTTTGTTGCCTCCTCGCGATCAAAACATTAATCACAAAACTCAAACAATAAATAAACCATCACCAATCGAACCATGGCCAAGTCATCCGCCAAGGAAAACGAAAACTGCCAGGCACGTCTTCTGTATCAGTACCCCAAACCAACCACAAAGGATCTTTTCACCGACACGTTTGGCTTCATAACCAAGACCAAGGAGGCTGAGTCATCGATGCACAGCGTGTTCAAACTGAAGCATCGGTGGGAACGGATGCTGAACGATGGCAGGACGGAGTGCATGGATGGAATGGTGTTCAAGGGTGTGCCTGTGTTCCTGAAGAACAGGGTATGGACCTACGTACTGCGCGGCAAGAACAAGCACAAGGAGGTGGGATGGGAGGAGTATGAGAAATTGAGGGACATGCATTCCGGATTTGAGTACCAGATACACGTGGACATTCAGCGCACGTTCCGGAACCACATCCTGTTTTACGATGCGTTTGGTGAGGGGCAGTGCAAGCTGTTCAGGGTGCTCGTTGCGTATGCAAACTACAACCCGCACATAGGATACTGCCAGGGCATGGCATCCTTCACCGGTCTTATTCTGATGTATTTTGATGAGCTGGAAGTCTTTAACGTGCTCATTAACATTCTTTCCACGCTTAACGCGCTGTTCGATACGCAGCTCAGCCTGCTGCCCACCCTGATGAGCGTTCAGAAGGAGGTGTTCATCCTTGTGATACCCGAGGTGTACTACCTGCTTAAAAACGAGAACGTAGATCTGTGTCTGTTCGTGTACTCGTGGTACCTCACGCTGTTCTCCCGATTTGATATCAAATTATCGCTCAGAATATGGGACATCTTCATATTCTATGGGCCCGCATCCCTTCTAGCGGTATCGTGCGCAATACTCTCATTCTATGTGAGAAGACTTGGCGAGATGCAGGGCGAATGCCTCGTTGCGTTTCTCAGCTCGCTGGACAGCATAGCACTTGCTGACAGCGATGTAGACTGCATCATAGAGAAGGTGAAGGGCGTGATGGAGGAGATTGACCTGGATGATATTAACAATGTGTTGGAGTTGTACTAGAAGGTGTGCGGAGGTGTTAAAAGGTGTGGCAGGGAGGAGTGCAGAGGTGTTAAAAGGTGTGGCAGGGAGGAGTGCGGGGTATTACGAGGGGTGCTGACAAAGAGTAGGGCTGTGGAAAAAAACGTGTAGAGACGAAAACAGCAATAGATCGTTCCAGGGTTGAAACGTGATTAAAAAGGGGTGATGAGCGTATTGCGATAAGGGCGCGCAGAACGATGGGCCATGGCTGTGAAAGGCGGTCCTTACGATGCGATGAGACGTATTCTAACGGCAAGTCCTTTTAACACTGCGCTGGGACTCGGCATCAAAACCATGAATAAAATATTTGGCACAGATTCCTGCGCTACAAATGAAAATCTTAATCGTGCTGGTTGGGCGTATTTTGCTCTTTCATTAGCATCCTGGCATTGATGTATGGCTACGTTCCACCACTCCGCTTTACACAGCGCCATTAAATGGACCGGTCTAGCACCGCCTTGCATTTTATTAAGGCATTATAAACCTGTTAAAACCGCAATATTTTCCTAAATTATGTTTACACATTGCCCGCATCGCTTTACCGAATAAGACCGTGATTTTAAACGATTTAGTATTCTGACACGGTAGGTTTTCGCAGCAAATCGTTTACTGCTAGGTGTGCCCGTTGCAGAAACACCAAACAACCACGGCAGTTCAACCGGGGAGAACGGCTTCTTCCGTTTGCACCATAAACACGTTAAAACCCTACCCGCCCCTTCACATTCATCGCAGATCATCTACGAAACATAAACGTTTCACCATCCAAATAAATGCATACGCCCGTGAATACGCCATGAAAGGCAAAGAAACGGTAAAGAAGGGTCTTATGATACTCTTCGTAATCGTACAATCGCTCTTCCTGATTTTCTCCGTCCTACTCATCGTCCTGCTCATCACGCTATATTCGAAACTGCGGTCGTATCTCATGCTGAGTGTTAAGCCATTGCTTATATCCCTGTCAATCAGTTTGATGTACGTGTTCCTGCCGGTCATAGGAATGCTCATAGTCATGCGCCGCAGGAACACGTACACCTTTCTGTACATAATCATGGTGCTGATGCTCATGAACTTTGACATTTTGCTCGTCTCGATGGAGTACAGCATGGTGAAGAACACGCCTGGATACACCGACAGGGCGTGGGACAAGCTGAGCAATGAGCAGAGAGAACATGTGCAGACCAAGCTTGGGTGCTGCGGGTTCAGGGATAAGAACGATAGAAGCGTGGGTGAGTGCGATAATGTGGGATGCAGAGACGTGTTCCTTGGGATCGTAGAGGGCGTGAAGAACAAGAGCGAACGCTTCTTGATTGGGGTGTTCGCGCTCAAGAGCCTGAGCTTGGCACTCGTGGCCATGCTGAGCATGCGTAAGAAGAGGAACAAGCACAAAAGCAAACGGAAGATGGACAAGAAGAGCGGAGGTGAACCTGGCAGGAGGGTAAGTGTTGATCAGGCAAAGTGGTTCTGGGAGAAGTAATAAACCATATTATGTGATATTGGCGGGCAGCCCTGCATTACAACGCGCTGAAAATGTGCGGAGCGTTGTTATGGCCTGTTTTACGGTTCTATAATGTATGCGTAGCTCTAATCTTGAATTGCTGTCTGTGCATGTTAAAACTGAATGAATTGTTTTGTTAATTTCGGGCTGCAGGTATTTTTGCGGTCCATCAGATCCGCCCGTCTTCCCATTCTGTTCCATTTTATTGCGATACCTCCCAAAAATGGTGTCAAACCAAGTTCTCCATCTTCCCTCAAAAATGTGCTTATTCATTTAAATTCATTCCTGCCTCAGCTACTCCCCGCGAACTGACCGACCATCACGCTGCATTCTCTGCCAGAAATGCTTTTCTGGTTCTTTCCATGTTTAAAAGTACGTTTTAGTTTGAAGAAGCATTTTTTCTTCAAAACGTATTTTAATTAGGACGGTGCAGGGAAAAGCGTACTTCGATCAAACATTCTTAGATGAAGAGGAAGTGGCGTAATACAACCAGTGCTACACCGTAGTTCACAAAGCCAATGTCAAGCCTTGGTTCACTGCTCATAAAACGAATATCGGCCCCTAACACAGGGCAAAATACGCAACAACAGCAAACCACCATGCAAAACCACGTGCCCTGTTGCACAGCGCCATTCCACGTTCTACCAACAGATACAATACTTAAGAAAGCTCTTTAATTACCCCTTCATCCTCCTTATGCCCACATCAACCACGGGCATCTTACTAAGCTCTTCCTTACACTTAACCAACTCTACATCAATGTCCTTTATCTTCCTGTTAATGTCCTCAACCTTGTCAACTATGCTGCTCTCGTACGTCTTCTTCCTGCCCTTGATGGTCTCTAAGAGCGCACTGACATCATCGCTGTCCTTCGGAATGGGCAGCTTGAGCTCTGCAAGCGACTTCACAAGAGAGAGCGGCAGGGAATTGCTCTGCATTTTCCTGAGCTCGTTCGCAAGAATATCGAACTTACGCGGATCAATCTCTACAATCTCCTTGAGCAGGAGATTCTTCCTGCCCTCCTTCTCCTTCATCTCCTTTACAATCTCCTTCTTCTGGTTCTCTATCTCCAGCTGCTTCTCCATCTCCTGCATCAAGCGCTCGTGCTCCTTTTCCTTCTCCTGTATCAACACCTGAATCTTCTTCCTCTTATCGAGCAGTTCGTCCTTCTCCTTCTTGAGATTTGCGATCTTTACGTCGTTCTCCTCGATCCGGGGGTTCTTTATTTTCGTTTCCCTGAGCCGGTTGAGCTCATTCCTCACGTCGTTGATGCTCAGCTTGATCTTGTGCGCAGAGTCGGCATTGTGTGCAAGCTTCTCCTTGATCACATGCAGCTCATCGCCCATCGTCTTGATGCGCTGCTCTTTGCCCTTGAGCGCTGCGCACAGCGTTTTCTTTTTCTTCAAATCCATCAATCTATTCGCGTAGTCCTTCTCCTGCTGCTTGGTAAGCGTGCACATAACTATCTTGTCATTAATCTCCTTAATCTTGCCGTCCAGCTCCAACACGCTCTCTTTCAAATTGATCTTACGCTTCTCGGCTGCCAGCTCCTCCTTAATTTTCAAGTACTCGGGCAGCAGCGCCTTCTTCTCCTCCATTAGCTTGTCACGCTCGGACATCACAGCGCTCAAGTCATCGTTGAGCTGCTGCTTCTGTGCTATGAACTGCACCTTGGGACTGCTGCTCTTCTCCTCCCTGATGAGCTGTGTTATCCGGTCCTTGCATTCCTTTATGCTTGTTGTTATTGCGTTTATGCGATCGTTGATTTCGCGTATCGCTTTGAGGTGCTCCGATATGCCGGGCACGCGCTTGCGCTGTTTTGTGTCTGTCTTTTGCATGCTAAGGGGGGGCAAAAAATTTTTAAATTTTGAGTGAAACGGTTAGAAATAGTTTGATTGGTTGGCGGGTCGTAGGCAGTTACAAATAACTGTGGAGGAAGGGTTGTTGAGCAAGGGATGAATTAGAAATCATGAAGAGCGAACTAAGAATGTGGAGAATAAATCGAAAACTTGGTAAAAGGAATTGAACGTGTTATATGTGGTACCAGGAGAAAGAGCGCGGGAGCAACGAGTACATTTGTATGCACGAGGGCGTATACGTACCGCTAGGTGTATATCGTGCAAAAAGTAAGCGTGCAAAGACCTAGCAATACAAGACGGGAAGCAAAGTGCCCTTGTAATGAAGAATACATGAATTGATATGGTAAAGTACATTCAGTACCTGCTTAACGATGATTACGTGGTTATAAATGCTTCAAGAATAGAAGGGCAGGTCAAAGGTACATGTTACTGCCATATCGCAGTAAATCTTTACGCTGTGGTAACAAATCGTAGATAAACGTATTTTTAATGAAAATATGGCTAGAAATTGAACATAGTAAGGTATCACAGCATGAAAAGGTATTATTGCTGGTACGATTAGCGTTTCACAGCAAAAATGATACAATTCAACTGCTGAGTACTCTCAAACGTAGCTTACGGTGCATTTGCACCCCTTGCTGTACCATTAGAGATAGTCTACATGTGATTCTCATAATAAATGTGCATGGTGCTGTAAAACTGGAACATTCCTGTTTTGTACTTGTGAATGGTTGCAAATCACTACCTTAAATACTATTTTTATCGTTAATGGCTGTGCATGCCGTTCGAGTAGAGAACAATTATTTGACCATAAAACGATGAGTGTTCAGGAACCTTGATTGTATTCGTGGGACAGATCACGAAACGGTTATTTTCGTACTGGATGATGAAATAATAATATATCATTTTCAAATACCACTTGTGATAGGAACATGGAATAACTACGGTCTATAATGCAGGTATTGTGAACTGAATATTTTTTAGTGGACTATAGTTTATGGAATTGAGGTGTACTTACCTTATATGGTAATATTTATAGTTGTACACAATTCTGCAATGCATAATTTATTAGGTAATATTTTTAAAGAATCACTTCTTGCTAAATCAATTATCTTAAATACTAACATGTAATATTATCAAATGCTCACTTCGCTACTTCCATCTATAAAACGGAGCAAAGTTCGAATGCTTATTGAACACCACCAGACCTTTAACATGTCATGCTATGTTTTTCACTCGTTTAAAATCTCTTGGTGGGGATCAAAGAATTAATTTCTATGGACAGTCATCCCCTTTAGAATTGTTCGTGCAGAACAGCTGAGAATGTTGGATAAAAAATGAATTGATGGCAATCTTTGCTCCTTTTTCATGCAGAGATGGAAAATAAATATTTTTTTCAAATTGGCCAATCATCTTCTTTTCATTCGTACAAATATAAAATACCATCCGCTGCATAGGTAAAACAATTACCATACTCTCCTAATTACGCAACAAATCACAACAACAGTGCAGTATATCAATCTTTATCTTTATTTAAAACAAAAAACTCTGTTCAGTTATCCTTGGCATACAACCGTACGTACTCCTTAACCTTCTTCTTATACGCCTCAATATCCGTAATATATAGCCGCCCTATCTCCGGCACTAAAGGGTCCTTAGGATTAGGCTCATCCAGCCAGCTAATCAGCGATATAATGACCTTCTGCACGGTAAGGGCAGGTGTCCAGCTCTCCCGCAAAATATCAAGGCAAATATTGCCATTTGCATTGATGTTGGGATGGTAGATGCGCGTGAGAAAGACAACCGAGGGCGGCTTGAACGGATAATCAGTAGGAAAGGTTATCTTGAGGTTGAATATACCACCCGCATACATACTCTCCTCAGGCGCACGCAGCTTTACATGCCACTCAAAAATGTTATCGTCGGGATTGGTTGTTATCTCGAAGCAGCGCAGTGTCTTGTCGTTTATGTCAGGATGGTTGGCCTCTCGCTGGAGAGTGAGCAGCTCTTTGTGTATTCTGCGCTTCGCTGAACTGTCGTGTACGGTTGCCATGGGGGGATAAAAAATTTTTGTTATTTTTCTGGTCGTGCTTTTTTTTTGTTTGGAGGTGATCAGCGATGGGAGAAAAGGGGATAGTGGCATGGCCCGTACTTCATTTGCAGACCGGTGTGATTGTTGATCGTGTTGGTGATTGTGCATGAGCGTGGTATGAGAAAGGAGTACCGTGTGTTTGCAGGGGTATGTTGTGCCATTCTTATCGCACTGTTCTGAGAACTGCACCATTGTTTTACTTTCGCTTTCTCGATCATTATTTCATCCTTTCCTCCAATCCTCCCAACTACCATCTCGTCCTATTCTTCCCACCAATACTTCATTCCAATATTTTCGTCTCATTCCTCCCAAATACCTTTTAATCTCACTCTTCACTATACTCCCGTATTAAAGCACACAAACAACGACCTCCATAAATGGCCGCAACTGCCCTGCCACACTTTTTGTGTAAAATGTGATTGGTCAAAAATACTATACCGTGCCTGTCATGCTGCGCCTTAAAATGCAAAACTGCAATTTTTCATATTTTAATGCCCTAGTACGGCATTTCTATAAAAGGAAATGTTCATGTTTATCTTTTGATGCTGTGCTGTTGATTTTAGGCAATTGTCTTGATTACATTTGCTCGCAGAGCAACACGTACCTACGGGTAGTAGATCACATTTAAATGTGCATGATAGTTTATTTATGCGAAGCGTTTGATGCATTAACGAATCAGGAATGCTCCCATCCACAAAGCGTGTTGATTATGGAACAGCAATGTCTTAAACATCAGCACACAGATCGCTACTTTACCGTTACTTGCCATGCACGAATTTGCTGGTGATTAACTGCTTGTTGTTTTGAGCTGTTCTGGCCCATACCTCATAAACTACACACTCCGTTTGGTCTACGATCAAGGACAATTAAACCTACTACACCATCAACACGTGATAAATTGGCAGAAATATTTTTATTTCCATCTCTCACTCGTTAACACATAAACATTTTGCTGATGTGTTCACGAGTGAAGTGCATACAAGCAAAGATACCATTATTTATTTAAATACACGTTTATTTGTTCGTTCTGCACCTTCTATCACGTCACCGAGCCTTGCACTTTGAATGCACCATCCCATTTTCTGACCCTTTTTACTGCTCCGCACCTACCAACCGCTCATACCCCTGATCAATATCATACTCCTATTTTTAATACCAACAGGATCAACTTCAAAAGCTGCATACGCTATCAAATATAACACACGCACCGTATCAGCGTTGTTCACGAAGAACTCGTGGTTCTGTTGCTCAAGAAAAACAAAAAGACCGTCTACACCACCGGTACTGGCCGGGTAGGTCTTGAGAAGGGCTTTTAGTGAGTGTGTGACTGTTTGAGGATTGGTGTTCTTTGTACGATACAGCGAGTGTGCCCGGCTCTTTCCTTTGCTGGTTCGTGTTTGATCATCAACATGCGGTGCCCTGTCACGTTCTTTACCACCTTTTGCGTCAGCAAAATGTTCCTGTTCGTGCTCTACCCTGTCATTTTTACCATGTTCTATATTTTCATTCACACCACCGTTCTCCTTTTTCAACCCATCATTCCCAGCACTGCGATCCTCTTCCACACCACGCTTCGTCCTCTTCACACCGCCATTGCCCTCTTCACACCCGTTTATCGCACCGTTCTTTTTGTCACTTGTGCCCGTCACTTTTTCCAGGTACGTACTGTGCTGTTCAACGGTACGCATTCTCTCTGTTGTTTTTTGTATTTCTGAGTTATTTTGGTGTTCTTCTTCTTTTTGCTCGCCACTTTTTTCTGCTCTAGCTCGTTTACCACCCGTTTTAGTTCCACCATCCGTACTAATCTTTCTGCTCGATTTAGTATCAATACCCCTCAGCTCCGCTTGAATTTCTTTGTTTATTTCTGTTCCTGTGTCTTTCTTCTTTGTCTTTTTGCCTCTCATTTCTGTTCTGGTAATCATTCTATGCTTGGTTTGACTACCAATCTTTCCTATTTCATTCTCAATCACACACATTCTCTGTTCATTGTTCTTCTGTAAAATCGTTTCTTTTTCCTTGTTCTCATCAATTTCCCCGTTACTGTTCTCATCCCCTAGCTCTAAAGGCGGATCCTTAAATTCCTTGCCAACCATCCCTAAAGCATGCCTCATCTCCTCATCGTCAGTCCTAAACTTGTCGTAGTAAACATTAAAATCATAAACATTTTTAACCGGTACTATTCCATACGAGAGCTCCCTGCCAAGGAATAGTACGCCTACGCCTTTCCTCTTGTAATATTTTTGTAACAGAACGGTTGTTTCATGTGATGTGATCTTGGATGGCCATGGTGGATACGTATCGTATTTCGACCATACGATGTCTCCTGGTTTGAGAGGTGCCGATCCGTTCTTCTTCATCGCTCTGTCATCCTTCTTTTGGCCTTCGCATGCTAAAACTTCTTTATCGAGCTTTGGATGAGTGATGACGTGTTTGTTATGCTTCGGCTGTGGAGTATTTTTTCCTGTGCACTTGTTGCTTTCTTGCTGGATGTACTTCACGGGAGCACTGTCGTCCACCCCTAACGATGCTCCCATGTTCTTCACGGAGACATCACCACTCTCTTCATGTTTGACCAATTCACCTTCATTTTTTGCTCTCTCTACATTTTGATCGTTCTCCTTCGTGCTCTTTCTTTCAATCACGTTCTTCCGCTTTAACTCATCGATTCGTTCACTGCTACACGCACCATCTCCACTCCTTTTACTATTTCTACCTCGCGATTTCTTATCTACACTTCCTGCATTGGCAGTATGTGTATTGCGATCATTTACTACGTTTTTGTCTTTGTTGTTCCTTGTTTTGCTGCCTGACATACCGAGAGGGCCAATTATTCGTATTTTTAAAAAATTTGTACAAAAATGGAACAAAAGAGATAAGAAGAAAACACGAGGGGGACAGAGAATGGTGAAGTTAATGTTATAATGTGCTGCATGCGGTTTGTTACAGAATTGAATAGTGTATTGGAATAAAGATGGTTAAACTTTCATAATTGATAGGTACGTGCGTGCGATAAAAATTGTTGGTGTGAATTACCAATGAATGGATAATAAATAAACGTATTTGTTGTGAAAACAAACAATACTATGCTTATCAATCACGCACTGAGCAGATTCGAAGAGTACTTCTCTGTCTATTAGCATTTTTAGCTCTTCATCCGGCAAAAATACAAGTTATGTTTTTTTCTTGACCGTATTTGCATGATTTGTATTCCAGAGCATGCCAATTCAGGGTATACGTCGTAGCTCAGAGACTTATGATTTTGAACGCACAATATTTGTGCACACTGTTTAACGCACTGAGATTCACTAGCAGCTAATGATTTCTTAGGGGTTATGCTACATGTCATTTCATGATGATGAAAGTCACTCCCTCTGCGGATATCACCATCCCCCTTTCGCTATCAACAAGTTGACGTTTCCCATGTCTTCTGTTGGTACACTTCTTTAGTGTGATGATATTCACCTTGGTAATTTCCACGAGTTCTTACGCCAAAAGGGATCAGAATTCATAACACTTATAAAAGGTGTGGTTATTCATTCCATTTGGTGACAAGGTATCTCACTTTTCCATGCATACATTTTCACAAAGATACTAGCTGCACTATTTCTGTTTATAGAACCTAAGAAAGTTGGATTATCTATTAAACGGTATTTTCTTCTTTTCATATGTCATATATGTTTCTTCCAATGTTTAAGATCGTTTCGCAGAGGAAATAATTAATTTAATCTTGTAATTATGTAGTTTAAATATAGTTCGTAAGAAATGACTGAGCAAATACTGTAAAAACGAATCAGGCAACAACTTTTAATTATTCCTTCAGTGCAAATCCGTGAAATAAACGTTTTTTATTTTTCTCGAAGGGTCAAACAATTTGTTTCTTTCGACTGACTACTAATCAGCTTCT